CAAATCGAAATGAAGATTCATCGAATGTTCATCGCAAAAAGCTTTGCAAATTCTACGTGTCATTTATTCTCGTTACTGAGTGAGTATGTAGCGGCCTTAAAAAATGCGAGCAATACCTTGTCGCTTATTTCGACATAGTATACATTTATTTAAATTTTGCTCTACGAAAAACACAAATGCCACACAGCCAAATAAAATGATAATTTTAATTTCAAATGGAGAGAAAGACAAAAAAAATGTCAATTAATATGCACATATAATTGTATATTTTGTACAATGAGCCCATACACACAAAAATATGCACACAATGGCGAATTGAAATGAAATTGAATTGTGTGAATGTTATTCTGTTCCACGAAAAAAAGCCATTACTACGGTATGTTAAAGATTGCGGTCGATATGCACAAACATATCGAACAGCCAGACATATCGAAGAAAGCAGAGGAAAAAAAAAGTAAACGAAATAGTCATCGACAAATTGAAGTTGCTACACAAAACAAAATACTCAATACCTCGTATTTTTCCTGACCGAAAATAACAACGACGACAACAGAAAGAAAGAAGAAGAACTGAAAACCAATGTTTGCATGAAGCCATTTCAACGAAAACATTTCAAGCTACCGTATTGTTTCAATGTTTGTGTGTCGCTTTGCACTGTTTCGAACAATGTGGAAAATGGATAATAATGAATTCGTGGCTTAAAACTATGGCATTCCATAAAGTACACATCGAATGTCAAATAGATTGGGAGGTAAATCGGCCTACTGGTCGGATCGTTGGCGAGTTTTTGGTGTGTGTGTGTGTGTATGTGTTTGTTTCGAAAGATATCCCGAGATTTGTTTGCAATCAATAATACTTTATGACAATGTCGATATCAAATTCAAATGAATGGCTGGCGCTAATGACATATCCAAATTCAATGCTCAGCCATTTTCCATGTATGAACTTTTCGATAAAAATAACAACAACAACAACAACAACAACAACAACAACAACAGCCTATATATGTATCAATCAATTTTGCAATTTTATGGAATTTGCATCTCTCTCTCTCTCTCTTTCTCCCTCTTCGTGTCGTCTCTCAGTCTCTCACTTCGAGAAGAGATTATAAACCATTTTATTTGATCATCACATTGATATACTGATGCGGTGTTACGTATATATAAATCTATGTTTTTTTGTTGTTGTTTCGCCTCGTTTGCCATCAATTTTCTTGTGAAAATTGGAATTTGAAATTGATCAAAATGGGCATGTATAATTTTAAGCTCATAACTTTTGCAATCAAATACCAAATTAACCTATTTAAGTGCATAAGCTCGAATCCTTTGAGAACGTATAATTTGAAAATCAAATACGTATACTATCTGGGGTTTCGATTTTATATACATACTTTTATATATATATATTTTTTTCTTTTCTATTTGTTTTTAGTATATTATTATATTATTCGGTTCAAAGTGTTCCTTAATAGATTTAGAATGTACTCAATTCAGTTGTTGTATATTGCAAGTGCTTCCGAAAGAAAGTGCATTACGGCAGACATTATTTCTATTTTTTCGTCGTCGTCGTCGTTTTGCTAGGGTAGAAAGAAAAAAATATAAACGGTATCGTTTCTGGCAGCTGGCGTATGAAAAACGTAACGTGTTCAGTGTGTGGCTGTTATCTTGATAAAACGTGTGCTAGTTTCACACCATCAACGAAACTGAAATTATACGTAATGACCGATATTTCAGTGAAAATACGAAGATTTTCGGCATTTTTTCTTTTCGTCTCGGTTTAATTTCAACAGCACACTCATTCACATTTGAGTTTGATATGAGGTTATTAAAATTGAAATTCCGTGTACGTCATGTCAACCGAAAAGGTTTGCCGAATATTACACTTAATATGTATCGATGTTTGGCATAACGATACGCAAAAAAATCTCAGGTAGAAAACAATAAATTCTGGGCAATATTATTATAAAGACAAACACACACACACACACACCGAGGCAAGAGAAAGAGAGAGAGAGAGAGAGAGAGAGAGAGAAGCATGTCATAACACAAACAAAACATATCAACTGTTTTTAGTTTAAAATGGTGATGATCCATTTATGGGGGGGGGAGTTATGGACACACAAAAAAGCTAAAATTCACTTTTATTGCTCGTTTTCGTCATACACACTCATTGTATTGTGTACATATTTATGAATGATATGGTTTCTCTTCTTTGCGTCGTTTTTTTCACATCTTTTTCTCTCCACTCCAAATATGACACCCAACCAACCTGTGTGTGCGCTTCAAATCATGGTGCGTGCACTGAAAATATCTTATGACACTTGATATTTAGAGCATTTTGCTTCCGGTGCCCGTTACTTTGAATGTGTCAGTGATAACAGATTCGGACCTTCTCCCAAAAAATGTTGCATCCAACATGTGGTAAAAAAAGAAGCGCTTGAACCGTTCAAGTGCCGCATCAGTCCTATGTCACGTCACGTGGATAGTTTCCCAATTGTTGTCAAAACAGGAACGAAAGAAGAAGAAAACGAAGAAGGGAGAATAAAAACGCCTGGAATCATTGTATACGTGTTGATTTGTTTTGTTTTCTTTTTTCACCTTTCATGACATGCACCACACTTTTTTTTGCTCGTTTTGACACGATTGTCACATAAACCGTCGGAAATTCGATATATTGAATTTTTAGTTCAAAAAGACGAATCGTTCAAGATATGAAGTAATAAAGGTAGATTCGGAAGCATTGGAAAAGGTCTAAGCACTACCGAATGTGTTTGTGTGTCTGTGACGAAAAGCTTTACGATGCAGAAACCATTTCAAATTTAATACTTGTGAAATATATAACCTAATTACTTGGGCCAAATTTATGTCATGAAAAAAAAGCGGCAGTAACGTCAAATTGAGGATGCCATAAATGGTATAGATCATGCTCCACCTATCACTCTGCATGGGCAGTTACAATCAAGCTGGCTTTTCAATTACGTATTTACGTTATTTTCGTGAGCATTGGATCATGAACGTTTTTTTTTTTATTATTCTCTCTTTTCGCCTATAAAGATTTTTTTTTCGCCGTTGCCCATTTGAATGATGAGGCAACGAATCATAGTTGAAATTGAAAACAAAAGTACCAATCAATGAATACTATCAAATTGAATTCCGAAATGTTGTTTCTTTATTTCTGTGTCGAATCTATACGTATATGTGTATGCGTGTGCGTATGCGATTGTGTTCGAAACTCTTTTTTTTCTGACCATGTGTCGCTTCCTCTTCTTCTTCTTCTTCTTCTTCTCTACTCCACTCTTTGAATTCAATTCGCACTTTGAATGACAAATGGCACGACTATGGATATATAAATGTTAAACGCCAAATTAAAAGAGTTTAAATGGCGCAAACGAGCGTCTTAAAAGCACTTGCATACTTACGAAACAAGATTGAAAGAAACCAAACGAAATAACGACGAAAAAAAGAAGAGAAAATTGAGATAGAGTGCTAATGACAAGTAAGCTCGGATAACAGCAACGAAAGAGATGGAACGAGAATCGAGAGAGAGAGAGAGAGAGAGAGAGAGAGAGAAAGAGAGAAACACGAAGTCACATTGCAAATGTAAAGTAACCTTCACTAATATTTTGGAAATCAACAATCTAACACACAATCGCGCATACATATTCAGAAGAGAAAAAAAACACACAAGCACACACAGTGGCACCCTGGATACATGTGTCCATGTGTCTGGCGATTTGAGTGGTTCCATATATACCAGCAAAAGCATACACACATCACATGCCCCGCACACACAACTATTGATAGCAGCAAATCAGCGCTCGTTCATATATGATGGAGAACAGCTTTCGGAAATTCTATTGTATAATGCTCAAGTTTGAGCATTGGCTAGCCGATTTGATGAACATGTGTGTGGCGGCGCGCACGATGTGAATTTCGCACACACCAATTATCCAATACGAAAACTGTCTTACACTTGGTCTGCTTTTATTTTCGTGTGTCGTTTACTTCTTCTTCTTCTTCTACATTGTGAGAGGAGTTGGAAAAACCAGAGTGTGTCTCCTTCGCTTGAAATATGAATGAATGTTTGATATTTTCGAGAGAAAAAGAAACAGAAGAAATAGGCTAACCAAATCACCTCTATCACCGAATATTAAATCGGTGATATACATGCATACACCTTGTGGTCGTATACTCATGTGGTTCGTCGACGTATTATTTGCTCCGTCATTGCTGGAACAGAAATAAGCAGCAAAGTATATACATACACACATAACTCTACGGAAAAAAAGCGACGAAAAAATAATAATAATAATTTTACACGAAAAAAAAGAGACCCACGCACACAACCGCATTCTTCTCTCTTTCAAAGTAGTTACAGAAGAAACAGCACCAACCAAACAGATACACAACACACACATTCAGCTGTGTTATACAAAGTTGTGTGTTGGCCGCTTTTATGTGTTGGAATATTAACGAAAACAATAATAATAATCACAATAAAAGAAGAGAAGAAAAAAAAAACGACTCGACACACATCAACAGAATAGCGAGCTACATCATAGCTCTTTCGTAGTAATGAAAGACGAACAACAGCAGCAGCAACGACAACAACAGCAACAGACAAAAAAGCACACAACTCAAACTTGTAATGAATACGTTCGCACACAGTGCAATTTGACGATGACGGTTTCGTTCAAATCGTAGTCCATTTATTTGATTAGTATTGTTTAGAGGGGTTCACATATCGCATACACAACACTAGATACGAACCGAAAATATTATAGACAACACGCGCGCGTTGCCGACATAATATGATTATCGCAGTTTTATTTTCCTTTAAAGTAATCACAGCAAATATTCCAATATTTCTTCGGTAAAGTTTTTTTTTTCGACTACTTTCTCAGTTCAGTTTGTGGTTTTTTTTTCAGTTTCTTCACTCGTTGTTTTCTGTGAATAATTTTGATAATAATTTCTGTGCTGGTTTTGTTTTTTTCGTGTGTCCTACGTGTGTTCTTCTTCATGTGGTGTGTATTTTATTTATATTAACGGTTTTTCCCATTTAAACCCAAGAAAACCCAAGTGTGCCAGTGTATATTTTATCAATTGCTTGCATTGAACATTTTTGTTGGTTAAGTTGATTGGTTCTCGTTTGAATTGTCACTTGATTCGTGCTCCGTCGTGTTTTGTGCGACAGTGTGTCGATGTCATCCTGCACTTTTGTGTGCCGTATGTTTTGCCTCGAATAGAAAAAAAACCTTTGAATTATCGAAATGCGATGCGATGATGTGTATTTTAGGAGAAGAAAAATGTGATTGTGTTGTTCGTTTTTTCTCTCCATCTTTTTTCAATAGTTTTTTTTGTTCTAAATCACATTGAATGAATAAAACTGGAAATATGAATTTGAAAAAAAATGTAATAAACTTTATCGGATTTAACTGTCGTGAATTTACACGCCCCCAATCCGCCTGTGCCTGTGGTTTAGAACTGACAGTATTGTGCATGTCATCACACAGTATTTTTTTTCTCTCATTCGCTATCTCCCTCTCTGTCTCCCTCAATATATCCAGTACTCCAAACGAATCACGTAGATTATTTAATCATTTATTTTTCTCTTCAATATCACAATCCGATGCATTTATGCCTATACTAATATGACAAAAGCAAAGCAATGCGAAAAAAAATTAAATTCAATTAAAAATCCAACTATTCCACTGAAAATCCCAGAGACAAACGCATATTCATGTAGTGTTTAGCATCGTATGTGTCTATTGTGGCGAAACGAAAAAAGATTATAATCGTCGTCTAGTTAGATAGTTTTAGTGAATATTTGACGCGCGATTTTGACCTAGAACCGTCCAGCTACGAGCAGCAATCGTGTGATTTGTTGATTTCTGATCGCTTCAAGTGAAACGAGACAATCATGTGACACTTTTAAACATGTTGAAATGCGTCGATTCAAATGCATACATAATTTTAAAAAAAAACACACACACATATATATAGAGAGAGAGAGAAAGAGAGAGAGTGAGCGAGTGAGAGAGAGAGAAAAATTCCACATTGAATTTCAAGCTCCATACAATAACTGGGCTATATGTGGTTGAATGTCACCGAGGAAAACCTTAAGTGTAACCGAGTTACTAAAATCAATTCGAAAGAAATTTCCGTTCAAATCGAATTTTATTCATTTATTCATACACTGGTAAACTGGTTTACAGCAAAGCAAACAACAGCAACAACAACAAAAATCAATTCGAAATATAAAAAAAAAATGTGTGTATGGGCCAAACGATACAAAGACGATGATTATTCACACATAGCCTTTGAACGAGTGTGAATGAAAACCATCGTAGTTTTAAACTAGTTATTGTTGTTGCTTGTTTGCTTACCGCTGCCTTCATTGCTGCCGCTGCTGCTGCTGCTGCTGCTACTGATGATGATGATTTCTATACGATTACTCAAATGAGATGGATATTTCAGCGAATCAAAACATTGCGACGCGATTTTAGATACAGATAAAATGTTTGTTCTATGCTTTGAGAACACAGAATCTCGACGCTTTTTCGAATGTTGTTGTTGAAATGAAATTTTTGAACGGGAAGAATTTTGCGTGTGCGCGAAAGAGTCAAGATCGTAAACGAGTGAGCGTTCCCAAACTCTAGGGTTTTTTTTTCTTCGCTTGTGTTTATGCCTCTTGTTCTAGCTTTCAAATGGATGACAAAGTTGCGCGTCATGTGTTGCCGTAAAGGAATTGCCACACGTTTTTTTTTTTCTCCTCTGTTGGAAGAACCAACAAATTTAATTCTTTTTTCGTCTTTCTTCGCATATTCTTCCAGAAAAAAAAAACATATATGTATATATTCGGCGAATCACATTTAGTCGGCTTGTTTTTGTATACAAGCAAAATGCGCTCTCAATAGTTTCATGTATATAAATATATATATTTATCAGTAGGCAAAATGAAAAAAAAAGAAGCGAATGAAAAAAAAAACACACAACACAACATCGAGTCTCTCTCAAGAAATGGTTTGCAAAATGTGTGTATGTAAACGCCACGTACAGTCAGTGGTTGATATTGATCAAGTGAACGCGTTTCTGTTGGACCAACTGTGTTTCTGTCATAACTTGCATCGTTTTTATTTTTTATATCTAATAAGGCAAAATATACGGCGACCGAAATTTTCAAGTGTGTAATTTTAATGAATATTTATCTAAAGAAAAAGCGAATAAAAAAACAGCACACACACACACCGAATGTGTGATGGCTTTTAAAGTGGCGAAATGGCAATGAGATTCGTTTGTGTAACGTAAAACAAGCAACAAACGAACGAACGAAAGAAAAAATTGTATGAAAATGAAGAAATAAATCCGAATTTATTACAACTAATCGGAGTTGTCACCGTTTCATCATCGGCTATAGTTTGACTTCGTTGTCTTTTTCATGCATGTGATTACGAATGTGCACGCTTGGCCAATGTGTGCGGAGTGTACGTGTGTGAGTGTGTGGCAAGATAGATAGACCGATAGATAGATAGGCCATATACACACATGGCACTATGGATGGCAATCGCTTGCATGTATGTGTGTGTGTGTGAGAGAGAGAGAGAGAGAGAGAGAGAGAGCGATGATGTGTTTGCTGGATTCCATGTGGTTGTAACGAATGACTGTCGAATGAAATCACGTTTGTGTACACGGGCACTTTTTTTCCCGAATATACATTTGATTTGTTTCATTGATAATAACGTTTTCGGTTGTTAGTTTCCAGTTTTCGACGAGAGATCTCCTGCCAATATTTGATCAATTCAAATGCGAATGATTTGAATATTAATCCGATTTTGCAATTTCGTAATGTGAATAAAATATGTGTGCAAAATTTTGTCATTTATTAGTTCATTCGTTTTTTTTTTGGGTTCGAAAAGTTTATATGTGTATGCATCAGCCATAAGACAATGAACGAAGGGACAGATAAAGAAAAGCCGTTCAACCAATGTTGTGAGCTTTTTCATTGTGGTTCATTGCAAAAGCAGCAACGAAATGCATTTAGAAGTGAAGAGGAAATTGTGAATTTTCAATGTTGTTACGTCGATTCAATTGGAAGCGAGACAAAAATTGATCACATGAAAAAGTTAACGGTTGCACCGAATTTTTCTCCATTTTCTCCTTCTTTATGAATAGTTATGAATGTAAAGGTTGCACAATATAAATCAATAATTTCTAGTTTGTTCTAAATATTGTGCGCACTGTGTTAAGTCATACGAGTGCGGTGCGGCTCGTCAATGGTTTGAATGTAATACAAAAGCTCATGTTGGTCGTGTGGTGTTCTTTTCAAAAGTGAAGAAAAACGACGAAAACTACAAACATACTGTAGAAAAAAGATGAAGAAAAAAGAAACGGAGTAGTTGAAAAGAAGACGGAGAAAAAAACAGAAGTATACGGCGAGTATGAAATGACACGAAGCAAACAAAGTGATCAGGAGAAAAAAGAAGAACACAATGACGATAACAGAGCCGACAACGCAGCAACAGCGAGTGCGCGCACGCGCACTGCCGTTCAATAACGGCTTTAAAACACTTAACATGAATGATTACATAATTTTCTCAAAGGCACTGATATACTCCGTCTCTCGAATATGCCGATGATGATTACTATACGAATAGAGTGCCTATCTTTCATTCGCTTTTGTCATTCTGTCGGAACGCGCGCACACACATGCTGCCGCGATCCGATCTGATCCGATCCGAATGGTGGTGCGCGCATTAGTATTTGTGTTAAATGTTAGTTGCTCACTTTGATTGATCGTGCGCTTTCCGTGAAATGATGCTAGTATTTTTGTGCGCTTGTAATCATCCGTCTGATCTATTGCCGATTGAAAAGCCATTTTTTTCTTCTCTCCAATACATTCAATGGCGCGTTATGTTATGTGCTGTTTGTGGTGTGTGTGTGTGTTTTTCCCTTCTTGTAGCTTTTTTTCGATGGATCTTTGCTTCTTCTTCTTCTTCTTCTTTTTCTTCTTCCAAACATGACACTTTGTTTGCTGCTGTTTTTCCTCGAGTCATCTCCGTTTTTTGTCGCAGTCATTTCAAATAAACAACAACTGGGCGAACAGCAAACTAGAAAGAAAAAAAACTCATCGAAATATAACGTAATAAGAATAAAAGCTGATCTTATACAAATTATGGCGTCGTTTTTTTCGTATGTGCCATTTTTACCGTTTATTGTCTTTTAGCCGAATACATTTGTTTTGTGTGCGATATCGCGCTCATAAATAGTGTGGTCGATAGTCTTGACTTCCATATATACCGAACCAATGAAATTTCGTTCAGTTTGATAGCTCAACGTCACCGGAATCGGTTATACATTTCAGCCTCGCTCTCCGTTCACTCAAATTTTGTGTGTGTGTTTTTTTTTCTTTTTCGTTTCTATTTCTCGATTAGTCATTTTGACTGGCGAATTGTCCATGAAATCACAGTGTGTATGGCTTTTCGATTATAGGGCAAAAGCTGATTACACTTTTTCGGAGTAAATGGTGTGATTCAGTGTATGTGTGTGTGTGTGTGTGTAGAGCAATGAAATGCTATTTTTTTTTATTAAATCATTTGAAATTTTGAAGATAACAACACGAGGCATCATTGACAGTGTAATGAATAGTATTTGTTTCAAGCGGACAATGTATGCTTGTGGTTATTGTAATAGTGAATTTATGAATGTTTGTGGCTCGCATGAATGATGAATTGAAGTGTCATTTTTTCCTTCTCTATTTGATAAACGAATGCGACTCATCCATTTGGAGTGATTGATTCAATTATGCGATAATAAAAAATTAAATCATTTCGTCGAAAAATTTAGTACTGAAAATGAACCGAATAAATGTGATGATGAAATGGAAAATGATTGGAATTGCGAATTAGCCAAAAATGTACATCATATCGCACAGTCAATCGTTTACTGTCCATTAACATAATTATGGAGTTTCAATACTAGATGGTCGAATATGATAATCGCTTTAAATTTATTATGAAAGTGTGTGCGTATGTGTGTGAGAGAGAGAGAGAGAGAGAGAGAGAGAGTGAGAGATTGAGTCTAATTTTTCGCCACACAACACACATCCAAGCATCCGTCATTTGATTATTATCAGATAATGTTCATTTCAAAACGCTCATTATGTTGACAGTTATGACACACTCCACACAAATACACGCACTCTTCATCACAAACCAATACACACACACACACCTCCCCGTTTCGCCGACGAATTCATAGAGAACCAACAATTCCAATACAAAAAAAAAGCATTAGGGATTTCTCTTTAAACAAAAACAAAAACCAACAACATTTTCCAACCAACAATATTTTTTATCTTTTTGTTCTTTTTTTCCTTTATTAATACGAACCAAATCAAAAACAAAAACCAATGGTGATATGTTTCCTATTTGTGGTTCACGAACTAAACCAAAAAAAAAACAAACACACGCACGAATCTGAATCGCAAAACTAAAAGTGATATTGAAATAAAAGCATACATCGGTACATCAAACGCATAAAACGACAATTATTCAACCGTCGACCCAGAAAACAATTCGAAACAGAAAAATTCAACGAAAATTAAATAACAAAAACAAAACAAAAATTAAATAAACCGACAACAAATTCAGCGGAAGAAGAAACAGTCGTGAGTGGGATTATTTGAATACGCAACGAGAAAAAAAGGGAGTCGACAACGTCAACGATTACTTGGATTAACAACATAGTAACTGCATTACGAATAAAGCAAAAATCAACAGCAACATCCTTATAATCCTATCACCATTGATTGGTTTCCAATGAAGTAAATGTGTTCAGTTCAACCAGCATCAGCAATACAACAAAGGAACAATATTTGTGAACACTCGATCATTAAACGTCAGCGCAATTCAATTGATAAAAGACAACAACTACAACTAGCATCAAACCTTGGCAGCAAATAATTCATTCGATACGAACTCCATCAAATCAGCTCAAAGCGACTCTAATTTCATAGGACAAACAAACCAACAACAACAACAACAACAACAACAACAACAACAACAACAACAGCAGCAGCAGCAACAACAAAAATCACACCAAGGAAATCACATCACTTTGTTCAATCTTCAAATCTACTACTCGTAAGCGGAAAAACGTTACTCACCAACCCCCTAGCACATACACTCAACCAACACTATTACGTACACCATTATATTCATTTAAAAAAAAAGAAAAAAATCGTCGTAGATAGTTCGAAAAGAAAGAAATAAAAGTGCCTGAATTTAATTGTGATACTCACCACTTTGCTTAAATTATACACATCGCAAGTACACACACTCAACACAAAACACATACACCAATCAAGCATTCGCCGTTTCAAAAACAAAACAAGAGGAGAAACAACAACAACAACAGATCATTCAAATTTTATTTATCGCAAGCGTCAAACGATTTATGTAGTTCCACACAAAGCTGGCTTTTGTAATATTGGTTTAAAGTTGGCGCAAGTGTTTCCTGATATTTAATTGACATTAAAACAAAAAAATACGAAATTCAGACGAATTTCGCTGAAACGAAAAACAAAATCTCATCTCGCAAACATTGATACTTAGTTCAACGTCAAGTGTCAGAAAGCGCAAGCAACAGACGTAAACATAGAAAAAAAAAGCATAACGAATTTCAAGCGAATTGAGAAGCGAGTCCACGAATTGAACATTCGAAATATTGCGGCTAACATTACTGATGTTAATGAAATTGATAAGGCATTTATGCATTAAACGAGTAAGAATACAGTACTGAACTGAATTGGCAGCAGCAGCGATCTATGCGGGGCAATTATCGGCGAAAGGACAAAACGAATTAATAAAACAACAACAACAACAACAACAAAATCAACAACCACAAAACCACCATAGAAAAAGTAAACGAAGCCAAGGCAAATTCCAACTGCGCCGATTTCCGATTGCTGTGACAAAAACGTCTCTCTCATTCTCTCTGTGTGGTTGTGTCCGAGCGCGCACACACAATTGAAAGAGCGAACAAACAAGTGAATCGAATCGAACGATACATACACACACACACACACACAGACACACACACAGACACTAGAGCCGAAAGAGTGAAATAGTTGTTTGGAAGTCAAACCGATTTGTCAAACCAGTTTGACCTCTAATGTTGTAAATGGCTACTATCTTTGAAGCAGTTGCGAAACAGTCCCAAAATAGCCAACAGAGTCAATCGCAACCAGAGTCGACAGCAAATCAAACGGCACAGCACTTTACGGGCAATTGCGTCACAAATGGGTTGTTTCTGTTCGACGAACCATCCACATCGATTAATATGTTAGATAATTGGCTACTACCATCAAAGCAATCGCGGAGCAGCCTCGAAGCAGCTAAACGCAAAATCAATCCAAATCAAAGTGGCCCATACCATACGAGCATCGATACGGTGGTATCGGATCATCACATCGACCTACTGACATCGCAACAGCATTTTCAATTCCAGCATCCACAGCATCCACACAATCAAGCGCATTCACTATTTCTATCGCCATCGAATATGGACACGTCACAATTATCGCAACAATCGTCGTCACTACAGCAACCCCAACAACAAATGCAGCAAACTGATCAGCTGCAATCGTCGCCCAATTGTTCTTTTGGTGAGTAGGCTCTATTATTCGAATAAACGATACAGCTTCAGATTTCCATTTCTGAATTCGAATGCTGTCGTCGAACTCAAAATCAAATCAAATCAAAACATGCTTAAAACAAAATGCAAAATATCCCCCTTTCCAAGCGATTCACACCACCATTCCAAAGTCTTTCACAAATACACACACACACACTCACTCACTCTCACCATCAAATTTCCATACGAATTCGGGGCGACAACATGACCAAAACGGCGTCCATTGCCAAAATACGCCCGTGCAATCCGTTGGCTTCTCTTTCGACGCGCGCGCGTTCCCAGTACGTTCGGCGGTTTTTTTTTTAGTTGAAATCGCATCGATATTGCGTTTTGGTCTGTGTTTGGGCATTGTCGACCAACCATCGATACACACCACTACCGCTGTTTGTGTGCAAATTTGATGATTTACTCTTTCTTTCTATCCTTCTCTCCATCTCTTCCCTTTGACAAAATATATACTACAAATTCAATGCATATTTTATTGGGCTTTCCAATCATCATTCACTCATACTCTACACGTAGCCAAATTAATACCAATTTTTTTTTTTATTAAAATGGGAAAGGGGAACTCGAACAAGCATTTGTACAAAAAAATCAACTCACAAACAAAAATATATAACCGAAAAAAAAGTAACGCGTGCACTGATACTTGCGGACGAGTACACCTTTGTACGTGATGCAAATGTGTACAGAGTCTCGTCATACTCGTATCAATAACAACATGAATCGCAATGCAATAACTCGAGACATATCGATTAATTTCGATTAATTTAAATAGTGAAATATACAAAAACTCATCGAAAAGAACCATCAAATTTTACTACATCACACAACACACACGTTTAAAATCTCTATATATAAATCACATCGTTGGATCAGCATTATGTTCAGCCTATTCATCATATTCGCAATCACACGACTATTTTTACTCAGATAATGAATATATACCCACAGATCAGGTATATCTGCAAAAAACAACATGAATATTATGATTTACCAGAAGCAACCAACATACAATTCAGAAACACCAACAAAAAAACGATCTTTGCCTCATTATCACTTGACAATTATACAAAATCTCTTCTGCATCTATTTGTAGCCAAAAAAAACAACCAAACAAACATCGTTAACATCACATAATATTTTATATTTATATATTTAAACTTATTTTTATGTGCATTACTGGTCATAATTTCTTTTATTTTAATTTGCGCTACATTTGATTTTTTTTTTCAATTTTTTTCTCGACCTTTTTTTTTAATTCAAAAGTCGAATAACATATCGCAGACAAAAAGAGCAATAGATTATTTGCCAAAGTGATGAAAACACTCCTAAAATGAAAGAAGCTATTGCGATTTTTGTTCGGACTGCAATTTATATTAAACTTTCACGTTCACATAAAACACACCAATTCATTAATGAACGATTCAGCCAAAACAAATCAAAGGAAAAAAAAACCAACTCAATCTTTCTTATCATGTCACATTGTGGGGAAGTCAAAGAATATATATTTTTCTTTCGTTTTTTTTATTTTCTCTTGCTCTTTTAAACCACTTTACTCCTAAAAAAATTCATCCGTTCGTCTCTAATTGTTTCTTTTTTCTGTTGTAATTAATTTTATTTTGTTTTCTTACTTAATATCGTCATTCGCTTCCATTAGCTCATCGTGAATCCTTTTCGTTGATCCGTGCTCGCTCGCTCGCTCGCTCTCAGACCTAATGCCGTATAACATCTACCAACAATCAAACTGTTTGCATATCTCATTTATTTGTGCTCACTGTAAATACGTCAAACAACATCTTGATTTTTCGAATTTTTTGATTTTGCAGTTATTTATTTGAACACAAAGAACTATCATTTTGTTGCGTTGTCCCACCTGGTTTTTCCTTCCAATTTTTCTTTTCATTTTCTATCTATCTTCCCTTCGAATTTATCAACCATTTTAATTTCTTGTGCTTTTACCCTTGGCAAAAAAAAACCAAACCAACAAAAAAAAAACAAACACAACCCAAACCCGAACCCAGTAAATGAATGTTATAAATACATTTCAACATCTTTGCATCCTTATCAGAATATTTCAATTAACATTAAAATACATTTTCGCTACATTTTACTACCAGCAAATTATCTCTCTCGTCGACCATGCATAACAGCAATTTAAAATCAGCGCTTAGCCTTCATTATCATAACAGCAGTGTGGTACAATGTTATTTTCGTTTGTTTTTGTTTTTGACTCACGGGGTAGGTGCAATTAAACCATAGCAACAATAAATCAAAAATTTCACTAAACACTTTTTTTAGATTGCGATTTAATCGAAAACATTGATACAGGGAAAAAGAGGCATGTCAATCATATCCATGTATGGGAACAGAAGAAAAGAAAAACAATCGGACAGTAGCAAAACAAAGAAGTGTTTGCCACTGCCGATAAATGATTAAACACATGAGTACTTGAGAGTCTCAAGTTGAGACAAAGGCGTTCGAAATAACAAGTATTTCCTGAGCACTTGGATAGGGCGAAAGAATCACAGACATTGAAATCACGGCACGCATATTATAATTATAAAATTTCGTTGTAGGACCGTGTCCGATCCTTTTTGACATGGTCGCATTGATTTCAGTCAGTAATCGAAACAATTACACAACATTCAGTCAATATTTCGGAATATTCCAGTGTGTTCATGTTTAATGACTCAAAAATATAATCTCTACCCATTTTTCTTTAAATTCCATATATTCATCAGAATCGGACGGAACAACAGAGAGAAAACCGACACTTCATTAGTGATTTATTTATCATTTTTTTTCCGTTGTTGTATTTGTTCATTTGATTTCATTGAAAATGATTTCGTAAAAATAATAATCCAAGATTAGTGGACCATGCAACTGAATTTTCGATCGCAGTTAGAATTCGGTCAGATAGAAAAATAAACAAACCGCTAACTAGTGTTTGCCACACCACGTACATACGTAATAAACAAATAAACCGGCATAAAGCGGTCTCAAATCACATTTGAGACCAGAGAAAGTGAGACAAAAATGAATGGATTATTGCGCAGAAAACGATTTCGGTCTGTCGCTCTCTCGCACTCTCGCTCTGTCCGTGTATGTGAACTGTTTCACATCCCGTTGAAATTGATTTTAACGCAACAGTACCTATCGCCAATGGGAAACACAACTAATTATTTTATGTGAAAACCGACAACGAACAGAGGAAGAAGAAAAAAAATGCTACCAAAGTTGGAGAATCATTGAGACGCACCAACCGAAAAAAGATCATGACACCGAAATTGTACATATTTTGTATGAACAAAAATAAAACACGAACGAACGAACATCGAATATAGCATGATGTCACCCGCATCATGAATGGCAGTACCAAAAAGACCGGTGATGCCACTTACCAAACGAACTAATATTTCATGATGAGAGAATCAATATTTCAACTACGATTTGAATAGACAATCCGATTGAAGCGAGAAAACACACACAGACTCTGTGCACACAAATAGAAGTTGTCAAATGGCTCACGCGAGTGTGTTTTTTTTCTTCTCAAACAAATGGAAAAATCCATGCAAAATGATCTAATGATTATCGGACTATTGAATAGAACTTGATTTTCTCGTGACAAAATCGCACACATCTGTCAAAACCCATGAAATGCGTTTTCTTATTCCATCACAATCAGACATTTCTTCGACTTTGACTTGGTCGAAAATTCCATTCTTTTCTCGGCTTTCTTTCTCCGTTGACACGGGTGACCACTAATTTGAGCGCTAACAAACGTGTCATTATGCTGCTTGTAAGTCGAAACAAATCCATTTATTGCAGCATAACAACGTTTCGTGCGCGAGAACCAATGCAAATGAGCTATCGTGTCTTGTTTCAATTCGATTTGTTTATGCAGCTAGCATTTCGATTCAAGCACGGAACGGCCTATCGGCACACATTTGCATGGGAACGCATGCGGGCAACCATAAAAATGACAAAATTCATAAGCGGAGAGAGCCGGATAGGGATAGAAAAAAGAATTATTATATATACCATAAATGATCCAATATGAAGTGGAGAAAGACAAATCGCAGCGGTTCGTTTTATTTTATTTCGATTTTTTCTCTGTTCAACGTAAGCTGTGCCCTTTCGTTAGCTCCATTTTGTACCGCTGCCACCAACCACAATTGCAATTCCCATGTGTGGGCATATTTCCAACCTGTAACTCGCATGCAAACCAAACTGGATTTTGGTTTGGCTACAGTGCTAACAAAAAAAAGAAGCTTTTTCAATCTTCGGAATCTCTGGAAAGTCATTTATATTATTTTTAGACGCTGTATTCCCAGCATTTGTGTGGCATTATCAAGCTGGAATGCTACCGCAATTCCGTTATTGTGCTCACCTTGTCTGTTTATATTATGATTGTGCGAAATGATGATGAACGTTTCAATCGATTAACCAACCGGTAATCCTATTTTTATATGCGTTTTTAACAATGGATTTATTCTTTTTCTTTTTCTTCGTTTTGACCAATTCAATTACGTAAAATATTCATACGGTGTATAACGAGCGTGTTTATCGTTTAATTTATCAGTGTGTTGAGATAGCAATTTGATACGCGAGTTTCGTGTCTCCCCTTTGAACTGTAAGCTGCTGCTGCCGCTGCCGACTGTTGCTATTGCTGTGACATATAAACGGTGGCTATTTTCTGTAAAACTTTTACCCATACGGGAATTCGGTCGATAGTTTATTACAAATTGGGACGTACCGTGCTCTAATACACTCTGTGTGTGCTTCATTTATCGATGAAGCTAAGTACCTGCTCGAGCTGATTACAATAGAAATTTTGAACGAAAGGAGGAAAGGTGAAAAAAAAACAACAAAAGAACGAAAAGTGTTGGGTCAACCATTAAATCAATTGAGATTGAGATCGTCGAAATGAAAGCGATACACGAAAGAAAATATAGTCCGTTATTG